AACATGTTAGTACAGCCCTTCTTGGCAATGCAACAGCCTGGGTATCACTTCAATCAGTGAACCCCAACCCAGGATTGCCTAACACAAAGTGTCACATCGCCATTCGTCAAAGAGCTCCTGGAATATGAAATTCCTAACACCGCCAAACTACCCCACCTTAAAACATACGATGGCACTACCGATCCAGATAGCCACATCGATACATACGAATGGACCATGACGTCCCTCAAGCTAGATGAATGATTCTGGTGCACATACTTTCCCACCACCTTAGATGGCAACGTAGGGACATGGTTCAAGACACTACGCCCAGACAGCATCAGCAACTTCAGTCAGCTGAAGTACATTTTCTTAACTAACTTCATGCAACTCCGGAAATACAAAGGCGATTGCCACTCGATCATTGGTCGCAAGCAACGGGAGGGGAGGCAGTCAAGGACTATTTCACCAGATTCACTAAAGCAAGGTTAGACGTCCCAGGGCATGACGAAGGTCAAATTACGGGGGCATTCACCTGGGGACTGTTACCGAGATCACTATCCTAGAATCCCATGGGCAAGCAACCTCAGACAAGGGCTGAACTAAAAGAGCAAGTGGAACGATTTCTACGCCAGGAGGAAGGCGAAGCGTCGAAGCATACATACCTCAATACCATGACAGCCTCCGCCGGAAGGCGAGGCCACCACCCTACCCCCCACCCCGATCCCCGGGGGAGGGGGGGCAGATTCATGGGGCGAGACAGATGATTGCCAGGACGCTTTAGACCTTTCGTTAAAGACGAAAGGCGGGGAAGACGAGCAGAATTCTATGCGGTCGATGAGAAACCAGCAGCAAAAGGCAGCAAAAGGCACCAAAACGCGATATTGTGAGTATCACAAAAGCAGGACGCATGACACAATCAATTGTGCAGTTCTAAAAAGGGAAATTGAAGAAAAACAACTAAAAGGCAACGTGATAGAAATCGCCAAGAGCTTACGGGCTAAGTTCGACGCAGAAAACTCCAAAGCCGCCACTGGAAGGACAGACCGTAGGTTGGAAATCTTAACGATACACCACAAAAGGGGGAGAGCGGAACACACAGAGGGCACACGAAGCATCACAGAGGCAATGCAAGGGCTGACATTCTCCATACACAACCCAAGCCCGGTTGGTTGGAGTGGAGACAACCCCCTCGTCATCCAAGGATCCATCCGGGATGTCATTGTCCACCGAGTATACGTTGACACTGGAAGTTCAGCGGACATCATTTACGAACACTGTTTCCGGCGGCTACCAAACGCTTGGAAGGAAGGACTAAGGCTAGCTACGGGCCGACTCACAGGGTTCACTGGGCACAGTTTGTGGCCCTTAGGTACGATCCACTTGCCATTTACACTAATCAACCAAGACAAAACCAGGCGACGGACTGCTCTGGTAGATTTCGTAGTCATACGACACCCATCATAGCATAACATCATATTGGGACGGACGGCCCTACTGAAGTTCGGAGGAGTCCCATCAACAATCCACGGGATAGTCACATTCAGTACAACCCAGGGACCGGGAACGATTTTAGCCACACCCCTAAGGGAGCTCAAGTGTTACGAGATCATACAACCAAAAGACATCTCAGCCGAAGCCAAGAGACCGAGACCGAATTTGTCGGATGGGGGAGAAGTAATCAACAGGGAATACCCAGACCAGCGGGTGATCGTGGGAACATCCCTCCCCGTGAAAACAAGAGGATTGTTGGTCCAGCTCCTACAAAAGTATAAGCACGTATTCGCTTGGACGCCCACAGATATGGTGGGAGTCGACCGAGAGATCATAGAACACAAGCTGATGATAAAACCAGGAACCAAGGAGATAAAACAGAAGAAATGGGTCCAAGGAGGGGACCGAAACAAGGCACTCAACGCAGAGGTAGCCAAATTAACCAGTGCCGGAGTCCTTAGAGAAGCGATTTTCCCTACATGGATCGCCAATCCGGTAATGGTAAAAAAGCACGACGGTAGTTGGCGTATGTGCATTGATTACTCAGATCTCAACAAGGCATGCCCCAAAGACTGCTACCCGTTACCAGAAATAGACCAGAAGGTAGAGTCTCTGTAAGGATTCCAGTGGAAATGCTTCCTAGACGCATACAAGGGGTATCATCAAATCTTGATGAGCAAAAACAACGAAGAGAAAACATCCTTCTACACAGACCATGGTACTTTCTGCTACACAAAAATACCGTTTGGGATAAAGAACGCTGGAGCAACTTACCACGACTCGTCGACTCTTTGTTAGCCAATCAAATCGGTCGGAACATCGAAGTCTACGTCGACGACATGGTCATCAAAAGCCCAAACGAGCAGAAGTTGTTACGAGATGTAGAGGAGACGCTACAAACCTTGGAGAGAGCTAAGATGAAGTTAAACCCCCGCTAAATGCACTTTCGAGGTAGAAGAGAGACAATTCCTGGGGTATTATGTGACAAAGGAAGGAATTCAGCGAAGCCCAGCCAAGATAAGTGAGCTCGAGGAAATGCCTTCGCCTAGCACACTAAGGGACGCGCAAGGATTGAATGGAAAGCTAACAGCGCTCAACCGGTTCATTTCCAAGTCAGCTGAAAAAGCCATGCCGATGTTCTATACGCTCAAAGGGTTCATAGGAAAGAATAACTTCCAATGGACGGCAGAAGCCGAATCGGCGCTACAGAAGATAAAAAAGGCGCTCCATGCACTCCCCACTCTGGCTAGCCTACTACCCGGAGAAATACTGCAAGTTTATCTGTCTGCATCAAGGGACGCCATTTCATTAGTGCTGGTAGTTGAGAGGCAGGGGCGGCAGCTCCCGGTCTACTTTGTGAGCCGGGCCCTGCAGGGACCCGAAATCAACTACCCAATCATCGAGAAACTGGTGCTCGCCCTAATCTACGCAGCGCGCAGGCTCCGTCGATACTTCCAGGCCCACCAAATAGAAGTATTGACTAGCTGCCCGATCAAACAAGTGCTCCTGAAACCAGAAACGTCAGGACGACTCGCAAAATGGGCCATAGAATTGGGAGAGCACGACATCAGCTATCACCCCAGAGTAAGCATCAAGGGACAGGAATTAGCGGATTTCTTACTCGAAATCCCAGGGGAACTCCAGCAAGAAGCAGCCGGCACGACCCCGCAAGGGGGGTCACAGTGGGAAGAATGGCCAGCAGTGGACTCTTTACACGGACGGGGCTTCCAGTAAAGAAGGGTCAAGCGCAGGGCTAATCCTAACCAGCCCCACGGGCAAAGAAGTCACATACGCTTTACGTTTCGACTTCCATACCTCCAAAAACGAAGCCGAGTACGAAGCCTTGCTCGCTGGCCTCAGATTGGCAGTAAAAATGGGGGCGGAAAGGGTTATGGCCTTGACTGATTCACACCTAGCAGCCAACCAAGTCTCAGGGGAATTCGAAGCAAAGGATAAATGAATGGAAAAGTATGTCAAGGCGGTACAACGAATCACAAGCTCGCTAAAGAGTTTCACAATAAAGCAGATTTCGAGGGGAAACATCAGGCGAGCAGATGCCCTCAGCAAGCTAGCGTCAACATGCTTTAGGCACCTTTCAAAGGAAGTATTGGTGGAGGTACTAAAAGAAAGGAGTATCGAAGAGCGCCAAGTTGATTCCCTATCAACAGCGCAGCCCAACTGGATGATGCCCATCATGGACTACCTGCAGCATGGCATACTCCCCGACGACCACGAGGAGGCTCGGAAAATAAGGATACGAGCCCCCCAATATGCAATCCTGGGGGAACATTGTATAGAAAAGGCCATACGACTCCATGGCTCAAGTGCATAGATGGTGAGTCAGGGAAGAAGGCTCTAAAGGAAGCCCATGCAGGGTCAGCTGGAGCCCATGAGGGAGCGCGGGTGCTCACAGGCAAAGTACTACGCATGGGGCTCTACTGGCCAGACATACACCAGGACGCAGTCGAATTAACCCGGGCTTGCGTAGAATGTCAAACTTTCTCGCCGGCACAAGGGGTACCACCATCCAAGTTAACGAGTATAGTTAGCCCGTGGCCTTTCTATCAGTGGGGGATCGATATCGTTGGCCCTTTTCCAAAAGCACCAGGGAAAGTAAAATTCTTAGTTGTAGTAGTCGACTATTTCACAAAGTGGATAGAGGTCGAACCGCTGGCGTGTATCACTGGAAAAGAGATAATCAAATTCATTTGGAAGAACATCATAACGAGATTTGGGACACCGAAAATATTAATCAGTGATAATGGTTTGCAGTTCGCCGAAAATCCTTTCAGGGGCTGGTGTAGCGAAAGAAGAATAGAGCAGAGATTCACATCCGTGGCACACCCCCAAGCCAATGGGCAAACAGAGGTGTCCAATAGGACGTTGGTGCAAGGGATCAAGAAGCGGCTGGGCAAAGCAAAAGGTAACTGGGTATATGAGCTATCGAAAGTCCTTTGGTCATATCGAACCACGCCACGGACTAGCACAAAGGAAACACCGTTCAGCTTGGCTTACGGGGCTGAGGCAATGCTACCAGCAAAAATTATGATAGGGTCAATACGAACGGAGTATTGCCAGGAGCGAGAAAACAATGAAAATCTAAGGGAAAACCTAGACCTCCTGGAAGAACGGCGAGAGCGCTCGAGCATGCACCAGGCCGCTTACAAAAAGGTAGTGGAAATATACTACAATCAGCGAGTCAAGGACAAGGCTTTCCGGGTTGGAGACTATGTCCTGTGGAAGAATGAAGTTAGCCATGCACAACCCCACGGGAAGTTGAGCCAAACATGGGAGGGACCATACAAAGTAACAGAGGCACATCGCAATGGGTCATACTCCCTGGAAACCCCGGAAGGAAGACAAATACCAAGGACATGGAATGCAAGGAACCTGAGAAGGTTCCACTACTGAGCAATGGCAAACCCCTATACAGAAGGGAGGACGATGACATGACACCCCTATACAGTAGGGAGAGCAAGGAAGACATCCCGTGGCCGGATTGATCACCCGGACCAACATGCGGACACTTAGGGTAGTCTGATAGGGAATTAAAGTGCAAAATTACTATGTATCAGAATTACATGAATAAAATAAATTGCATTATCTTTAGTATGAAATGCAGCGAGCATGCCCAACATATCTCTAAGATAGAAAACGCAACACAGAGGATACTTAGCGAATCCACATGCACGCGACAAAATATTAGAATACATAATACACATACAAAAAAAACAAACAACCTACACAGAAGGTTCAACATAACCAAGGCAAAAAAGTATGTTCTAGCAAACAAGAAACAAAATTATCGTCCATTCATACATGAGGGCCTTAAGGGCCATAAAAAATTACCAATGCGATACAATAAAGGCCTTAGAGGCCACAAAACGTTTAAAACATAACAAGACGAGACAAAGCTTCAAAAAGATTTTTCATACCCTAACAGGGCAGCTCCAGACAACTTCACACACCATCGCCAACACCAGCATCATCAACCTTAACTCCGTTACCGACTCCATGAGCATCACCAATCTCAACTCCGTCACCCGCCCCACCAACCCCAACACCCAAATCCTCCACAGGGTCTTCACCTTTATCAAAAGCACATAGCGCCCGCACCCCATCCACGTCCAGGTGGCCCAACCCAAGCAAGCCAACATCCATGGTTGCGAAAGCCAAGAGAGCATCATCCAAAGCCAAAGAATGACTAGACCGCGAGTCGCTGGCAGAAGGGTCATAAGTCCCAACGTCGACCTGTGCTTTCAAGTTAGCCCAAGCAGATTCTTTGCCAGCAACAAAAGCAACATGACGAATACGGATAATACCACCTGTAAATTCGGGATGCTCAAGAACTTTATCCATCACGCGCACAAAGCCAACTTGAAGTAGCCAATTACGGTTAGCCCTTAATACCTCCAGCTCTCGCTCGCGGTCAACAAGATCCCGCTCCAGACTTTCATTTTGTATCATCAGGCCTTCATCGCCTGGGTTAGAGATTTCACTTGGCCTTCCAAATCACTACGAACATCTTCTAAAACCAACTTCTCTGACACTAAAGATTTTTTCACCTTCCAATTGTTGAACGGTAGCACCAAGGCCCGCCACCTCGCCCTGCAAACCAGCCTCGCTCGCCGAAAGAACAGAGTGTGCGCGCTCTAGCTCGTCGAACCACTGCACACGGCGGGACCCAGCAGCCAAGTATGTCATGGCCTGTGCAGCGGCATAAGCAAGGTTGTGAGCCAAAATGGCGTTACTCATCGAATCCATATCATCGACGGTAGCAGGAGGAAGAGCATGGCGAGCAAAGTCCAACGCGACAGAACGCATAGACAAACAGGAGTCGGATCGCAAACTCCATCCCGGAACAAACGGAGGTGCACTGTGAAGTACTCCTATAGCAGCAGACTCTTGAAACAACCGCTCAGGACTACCCTTCAAAGACGAAGGGCTAAAACCAGGACTCAGAGAGATTGGCACAGGAACAAAGGGCTGATGAGACGCCCCTCCGATACCCTCAGACTGTTGAACGTCATTATTGGGTATCACTAACACATCCCGTGAATGAGACGTCACAGAAGACAGCAGGTGCATAAGGCTGCGACGCTGCATCACACGCCGCCCAATAGGTCCTGAACTACCCTCAGGCGCCGGCCCACTCATCGCTTGCACAACTTTCCTCCTTTCTGCAACCCGACGAATGTTGGCAGTAATCCCGATCTTGCTGTCCACCGCATTATCAGTTATCGGCTCAACAGGAGGACGAGACGTAGCGGCAGGGGTTACAACAGTGTGGGGACCTGGCTGGATCTCCGACGCCGTAGAACTTCCTACTGGTTGAGGGGGCGCCGAGGTAACAGCACTTAAACGGCAAGGGGGAGGCAAAGTCTCGTACAGGGGAATGGGGTTTTGAGCATTCTAACACTCCTATGGTGTACATGCAACCCTAGAAACCTTGGATCTATGTTTGACTAAGATACATGCAAATAATTATTTTTCCAAAGTTCTTATCCTAACTAGCATGGCATGGGGGACTTGAATCAAATAAAACTAGTAGAATTACTTACCTTGTAGTAGTAGTTTATTGCTTGGAGTTTGAGAGCCTAGCACCAATAATGTGGATGCCTCAAATGGAAGTCACAAATCACCACAAACTTGGAAACTTGAGAGAATAGTCACAAACGTCTTGAAATCGGCCCTCTTAGTTTACACACATCAACTAGTGCAATTTCAAGAACCAAAGCCTCCTTTATATAGTGTGGTGGATTAGGGTTACATCCATGTAAACCCTAATACCCATGTCTTTTCATTTCCATGAGATCCATGGGTTAAAGCTCCATGGAGTATCCATGGACTTTCCATGCAAGCCTAGCCCATTCCAAATAAGCATTAGCCCACACTATATAAATACAAGAGCCCATATTTAATTAGTCATACTTTTGATCTCTAAATTAATTCTAAATTAATTATAGATCAATACTAATTAAATAATATGATTTTATATTAATATATTAGGACTTATAATATATTAATAAATCATAACTTATACTATTCTCAAACGATTATCCATAAATTGTTCGGGTGAAGTGCAACCCAAATGGACCATGCCGGGTCGGGTCAAGTACATACCAAATATAGTTATGGACTTAGACACTATATCCAACAGTCTCCCACTTGGATAAGTCTAATAACTATAGTTGCAAGTATGACTTCAGGAACCGATCAGCAATCGTAGCTCTTTAAACTCTGTTGAACTATGAAGCGCCATTTTAGATAAGTGATCATATAATCCTCTGTTCTAGATATCAGCCGGACAAATACATGGAACATGGTCTTGCTTATTGTCCAGCATTTGTTTCCCGATTTCCGATTTGTTTGACATAGAACTTAACTGAACACATCAATTTAGTTCTGACCGGGCCCGGTACATAGGTCAAAACAAAATCATCGAGGGGCCCAGATATCGCTTCTAATCCTAGAAGGAACAGATAAACTTCGACTCATATGTTTGCTCTACTACTTGTTGAATTACACACAAAAGCACGGTTTATAACATCGAGTTACCAATGCGTTTTCGTGCAATCAATGCATAACCAACTCATAGGCAACAAATCATATCTCTAGGTTTGAAGACTTATATGATATTACCGTCTCACGATCACTCGAGATAAATTCCATGAAGTGATACAAGTGAGCGTGGGTTGAATCCAATACTCAGAACTTATGAGCACTCATGAGTGTTGTAGCCCCGCTTTGTCTAACATCTTAGACCTCTACAAGCCAACCCATGACAGTCTTGATTCATATCTACTTCCAACATATGACCGACTGTGGAGAGTTTGAATAATATGATATAAACCATAACATAATTATTCTGGAAGTCAAAACATGCAAAAAGAAATAATAGTAAACGATTGACAAGAGATAGCAACACTTTACTCATAAATAACAGCTTTTATTTATCATCAAATGTCAATTACATTTTACAAATTTCAAGATTATCTAACTACTAAAACTAATATCATCCTTCAGCCCTATGCTCCGAGCATGCTGGAGATGCTTAGCCCGAGTCAGTCCCTTCGTGAGGGGATCTGCTGGGTTCTCATCCGATGATACCCTCTTTGCCACGAGGATTCCTTCTTCTATTCGATGTCTGATGAAGTGATATTTTCTGTCAATGTGTCTGGATCTCCCATGATCTCTTGGTTCCTTGGCTAAGGCAACCGCACTATTGCTGTCACAGAAAATCTCCATTGGCTCCTTTATAGCTGGTACAACTCCAAGGTCTCCGATGAAGTTCTTTAGCCATATAGCCTCCTTTGCTGCCTCGCTTGCTGCTATATACTCTGATTCACAAGTGGAATCAGCCACTGTCTCCTGCTTGGAACTTTTCCAAGTAATTGCCCCTCCGTTTAGAGTAAAGACCCAGCCCGACTGAGAGCGGAAATTATCCCTGTCAGTCTGAAAGCTAGCATCACTGTACCCTACAACTCTCAAGTCCTCACTGCCACCGAGGGTAAGGACCCAGTCCTTAGTCCTCCGTAGGTACTTGAGGATATTCTTTACCGCAGTCCAGTGTGCCTTGCCAGGGTTCCCCTGATACCTGCTAACCATGCTCAAAGCAAAGGCTACATCAGGTCGAGTACACGTCATAGCATACATGATCGATCCTACAGCTGAAGCATAAGGTATTCGACTCATTTCTGCTATCTCAGCCTCAGTACTAGGGCTTTGTGTCTTACTCAATCTGGCGTTACTCTGGATGGGTAACTCTCCTTTCTTGGAGTTATGCATGTTGAACCTTTTCAACACTTTGTCCACATAGGTGCTTTGACTAAGTCCAATTAGTCTTTTACTCCTGTTTCTCAAAATCCTTATCCCTAGGATATAGGCAGCTTCTCCAAGGTCCTTCATAGCGAAACACTTCCCAAGCCAGGACTTTACTTCCTGCAGGGTTGGGATGTCATTTCCTATGAGTAGTATGTCATCCACATACAGTACCAAAAAGCTGACTATACTCCCACTAGCCTTGATATAGACACAAGATTCATCTTCACTCCTTGAAAAGCCAAATTCTTTGACTTTCTCATCAAAGCAAAGATTCCATCTGCGAGGTGCCTGTTTTAATCCATAAATGGATTTCTCGAGCTTACACACTCTACTGGGGTACTCTGTACTGACAAAACCCTCTGGCTGAACCATGTAAACATCTTCAGCCAACTTTCCATTAAGGAAAGCGGTTTTGACATCCATTTGCCATATTTCATAATCATGAAATGCAGCAATGGCTAACAGAACCCTAATAGACTTAATCTTGGCCACTGGTGAAAAGGTCTCATCATAATCAACTCCCGGAGTTTGAGAATAACCCTTTGCAACCAGTCGTGCCTTATAAGTGTGTACATTACCATCCATGTCGGTCTTCTTCTTGAAGATCCATTTGCACCCAACTATCTTACGATCAGGTACATTGTCAACCAAGTTCCAAACTTGATTGTCATACATGGACTGTATCTCGCTATCCATAGCCTCTTTCCATTTAGCAGCCTCAGGGCCTGCCATGGCTTCCGTGTAGCTGTTAGGCTCATCCAGATTTACCAGTGTGTTATCACTGATAAGTGTCTCACCTTCTGCAGTAATATGAAAACCATAATAATGCTCAGGTGCATTCCTAACTCTGGTGGAACGCCTCAGAGGTATAGATTCTTCAGTCGGCTCAACAGGAGTTTCCTCCTCAGGTTGAGGGCTAGGGTTTGAGGTTCCTTCACCACTTGACTCTTGAATTTCCTCAAGGTCAATTTGCCTCCCACTGTCTCCTTGGCTCATGAATTCTCTCTCTCGAAAGAATCCTCTTCTTGCTACAAAGACCACATTATCACTGGGTCTGTAGAAGATGTAACCAAAGGATTTCTGTGGGTAGCCGATGAAAATACACCTTTCGCTTCGGGGTTCGAGCTTATCGTGAGTCTCGCGTCTCACGAAAGCCTCGCAACCCCAAATCTTGATGTGGTCTAGATTGGGAACTTTTCCAGTCCACACCTCGTGAGGTGTTTTGGCAACCTTCTTTGTAGGGACTAGATTAAGGATATGGGCGGCAGTCTCTAAGGCATACCCCCAAAATGAGATTGGTAGCGAAGCTCGACTCATCATGGAACGAACCATGTCCAACAAGGTCCGATTGCGCCTCTCAGCTACACCATTCAACTGTGGTGTCCTAGGAGGTGTCAATTGTGAGACAATCCCACATTCCTTAAGATAGTCAAGGAACTCAGTACTAAGATACTCACCACCACGATCGGATCGAAGCATCTTAATGTTCCTGCCCAACTGATTCTCCACTTCTTGCTTAAACTCTTTGAATTTCTCAAAGGTTTCTGACTTATGCTTGATTAGGTAGACATATCCATATCTACTAAAATCATCAGTAAAAGTCACATAGAACCGATTAGCATCTCTTGTGGCGGTTCTGAAGGGTCCACACACATCCGTGTGTATGAGGTCCAACAAACCTTCACCCCTAGCACAAGTGCCAGTAAAAGGTGACTTTGTCATTTTACCAAGCAAACAAGATTCACAACTATCATCTGACTTTAGGTCAAATGACTCCAAGACTCCATCCTTTTGGAGTTGGCCTATGCGTTTCTTGCTTACATGTCCAAGACGACAATGCCATAAGGATGCTTTATCTAAGCTAGTGGAAGAGTTAATACACAATACATTATTTCCTAGATTATCTACAACAGATACAGTTTCATACACGCCATCACAAGGTAATGCTTTAAAATAAAGAACATTATTAAAGAAAGCATCAATACTACCATTATTATTATCAAAATAAAAGGTAAAACCTTGTTTATACAATGCATGAAAGGAAATAACATTTCTTGCCATTTCTGGCGAATAATAACATTTATTCAAATCTAATGTAAACCCACTATTTAGCACTAAGGAATAAACTCCTATCTTGGTGACAGGTGAAGCTTTCCTGTTTCCCATGATCAAGTTTATCTTTCCCTGCTCCACATTCTCACTTCTTTTTAGTCCCTGCAAATCACAACATATGTGAATACCACAACCTGTATCAAGGACCCAAGACTTAGAATGAGGTGAGTTATTAGACAATATAGTGTATATACCTGCATGGTTGGGTTTTACTTTCCCATCCTTCAAATCTTGCTGGTACTTTGGGCAGTTTCGCTTCCAGTGCGACTTTTCATGGCAATAGAAGCATTCAGCCTCATTAGGGTTAGCAGAAGGAGTGACAAAACCTTTCTTGGTTTTGCTTGAAGAGGAGCCTTCAAGGGTCTTACCCTTGGTACCCTTAGAAGGGTTCTTTCTCTTCTTCCCTTTGCCATGCCCGATTGCCAAGACATTGGCCGCAGTTGGAGTAGGAGTAGGAGTAGTAACAACCGACTTACCCTTTAGACCACTTTCGGCGGTCTTCAAGAGTCCTTGAAGTTTGCTGAGGGTGACTTCTTCCTTGTTCATGTGATATGTCATGCGGAATTGATCATAACACGATGGCAAGGAGTGCAAAATGATGTCTATTGCTAACTCCTCAGGGAAGTTCACATTCAGCTTCAGTAAACGGTCCACATACCTTTGCATTTTCTGCATGTGGCCCGTGATGGGTTCACCATCCTTCATTCGGGTTGTTATCATGGAGGAGATTATTTCATATCGCTCTTGACGAGCACTTTGATGGTAGCGGTCCATCAAGTCCTGGTGCATCTCAAAAGGATAATAGTCCTCATAGGACTTTTGGAGCTCGGCTGTCATGGTGGCCATCATGATGCATGCCACTTTTGTAGCATCTCTTTCATGTACCTCATATTCAGCAAGCTCTTCAGGAGTAGCAGTTGGCTCGGGTACCTTCAGCTCCTTGTCGAGAACATATTCTTTGTTCTCATACCGAGTGACCATCCTGATGTTTCTGATCCAATCTGTAAAGTTGGACCCATCAAAGATGACTCTCCCACAAAGATTCATGAGAGAGAAGGAGCTAGTAGGGTTTGAGCCAGAAGCATTGTTATTGGAAGACATCTGAAAAGAAGAGGGAATAGATTAGATTAGATATAGAGATAGTCCTTAACAAAACACCCAAATGTAATATTAAGGCTAGGACCCAACACAATATTTTATAACTTAGAAGAGGGATGCCGTAATCTAAGCTATAAGATATTTGAAGGTAGGTGAATGACGATTCACCAATTTCCACCATGAAAAACGAAATATTTAATTAGGTTTTAATTGGTTTAGAAACTCCTAGATTCTTTGAGATTCATTGAACTTTCTTCAATGGCATGTTTCAATCTCGAGTGTGCCCTTCAAGTTTTGTGACTGGGATGCCGAGGATCACAAAACAAGGTGTGAAGTAACCATGCAAATTACTTGGTACCCTTAATGTATTACCCCTCAATCGATGTGCCGGTTAACCACACACGCTCCATCGATACTATGATAAACATTAAGTCACCCTTTACCTACCTTGTTAAGTTCAAGTTAGTGTGCCGGTTAACCACACACGCTCCACTAACGACTTAAACAAAGTGTAAAGTGTAATTTCATGGATTAGCACCTTATTCACATTTTCCTAAAATAACTAAGATTGGGAATTCAATAAAGTTTAGTTACTTTAGTATTATCATTATACTTTTAATGAGAATTTATAAGTCCTTGTCCTACCCGTTCGGCTAACGACCCTCCACCGATCAAGGAAGCGGTGGGTGAGAGTGGACACCCATTAAGTTGCCATTTTATAGGCAACAACCTTATACCCCCCTTATAGACCGGCTTCGTGAATGAGGCGTACTAGCGGTAAGACGACTTGATCTTATACATATATAAATATTATTAAACTTATAATATTATAAAGTATAAGGGTTGAATTTTAACTTTTAAAATTCTAGGGGTTGGAACTAAAGTTTTTAATATGACTTTACATGTTCCAAAACTTGAGGGCAAGTTTTGTAAACTTTCAAAACTTTTCATTTCTCATAACTTATGAGTTAATGGTTATTAAAAATGAAGACTCTTCATTTTTTGTAACCTATGTGTTCTTTTAATGGTTATTTATAAATGTGACTTTTGGTTATCCATAACTTAAGAACTAGTTATGGACTCCATTAAAACACATAAAGATCAAGAATTAATCTAATCAATTATTAGCACATAATTTCTATGATCTTCTAAACTCATATGTTTATGAATGTTCATATCAAAAATTTCAAGAATCGTAAGTACATATACAAAACTTGAAATTTTGATACGAGCTTTTGAACAAAACTTCGATTTTCAAGTTTTTTTTTTTTTTGCATCAAGTATCAAATAAACAAACCAGGCTCTGATACCACTGATGGGTTTTGAGCATTCTAACACTCCTATGGTGTACATGCAACCCTAGAAACCTTGGATCTATGTTTGACTAAGATACATGCAAATAATTATTTTTCCAAGGTTCTTATCCTAACTAGCATGGCATGGGGTACTTGAATCAAATAAAACTAGTAGAATTACTTACCTTGTAGTAGTAGTTGATTGCTTGGAGTTTGAGAGCCTAGCACCAATAATGTGGATGCCTCAAATGGAAGTCACAAATCACCACAAACTTGGAA